TTACCAACTGTCTCAATAATTCTCCTTACAAGAGAAGATCTCAGTTTCCAAGTTGCATTCAGTTGTCATATCTCTTTACTCTGCTTTATCTGGAAGCGTTCTTCAGTCTTTCTTTGTCTTTCAAACCTTTGACATTTTAACAAGAACAGGCAGGTTGTTTTGTTGAATGTTCTCTATTTGGGCTTATCTGTTTCCGTATGATTTAACTCAGATTATGCATTTCTGGCAAGAACACCCTCTGCTGTTTATTTTCAATAAATTCATTAGGTACCCCTGTACTAGAAACAGTGATAGGAATTTTGCGTTTTAAAACTCCTCTCTCTAAATAGATCCTGAACTCAGTGAAGGTGGGAATAGGCCTTCTCTCATCCCTAGGAGAAAAATGCAGGCTCCAGAGGCAACTGTAGAAGCTGGTGTTCTCTCTTACTTGTTGGCCATAGACCCTATGAATTTACAGTGGGGATGGTGACGCTAACATTCATAGGGTGGTGAGGATCAAAACACTAATCAGGCAAGACCCATCAGTGAAAGCTTGAGAAGTAACAGGATATTTACATAGTGTCAAAGTCTCTCACTACAAAGTACTAATTGCAAAGGAAAAATGATAGTGGAGAAACCTGGCTGACACTATCTCAGCCGAGAACTTTCCATCTAAATTAACATCAGCATTTATGGGTAAATCAGCATCACATGCCTGGTATGACGCACTGAGAAGAGCATAAACTCATTTCCTCACTGTAGCCACTTCTTGCCCCTCTTAACCTTTTCTCGCCAGTCTTGTCTTTGGATCAACCTGACTATTTGTAGAAGTGGGAGGACTGACAGAGTGCCTCAAGTGGTAGAGCACCTGTCTAGCAAACGTGAGGCCCTGAGTTCAAATCCCAGTACCAACAAAAATAAAATAAAACTGAGCAGCGGGATATGGTACTACTTACATGTTAAAAACATGGCTCCAATATGGCTGATGGGCTTCATACACGTAAATGAAATAGAATGATGAAACCTTTTGCAGTTGCTTTAAGTGGGGTGGGGAGAGGGTGGCAAGGATGAGATGATAGGGGTGATATAACCAATGTACAATGTAAGGCTATTCAGAATTGGTATAATGAATCCCCCCCCCCACAATGAATATATGTTAATAAAAATGAAAAACTAAATAAAAAGTGAGAACCAGACTAAAGATCAGCAGATGTGAGTCAATAAATAAATAAATAAGGCTCTAAGTCCAGTAGAGTGGCTCACATCTAGCTACTTGGGAGATAGGAAGACTTCAGTTTAAGGCCAGCCCTGGGAGTGCTGGGGCCTTAGCTCAAGGGGTAGTGCATGAGCCTAGCAAGCATGAGTCCCTGAGTTCAAAATCCCAGTACTGCAACAAACAAACAAACAAACAAAAAATGACAACAAATGAAGGGGGACTGGAAAAGGGGAGAATGCACTCCAGAGGCTGACCACAAAGGGATGTGTACTTTAGGGGCTAGTTCAAGAGCCTTGAGTCCTTTGGGCACCTTTCTCATCCCCTAGTCTCACGGTTCCATCTGCTCTGTAGCTCTGCATCCCCCAGACTTCTTTGTTGGACCCCCTGGGCTTTTCATTTATCATCCTCCCCCAGTCCAGTCTCATCTGTTACTCCCTGGTCCCCTTTGTTGACCTCTGTACCCAGTCCTCTCTAACATCCTGCTTCAGAGCCTGGTAAAAGCCCTGACTGTAACATGAGTTGAAGACTGCCTCAAGGGAGTCAGGAGTACAGGGTCTATCTGAGTGCCTTGAGCAGCAGCAGCATGTGTAGTCCTAACCTCCCCATGAGAAGCAAACTGCACCTTGGCCTCTCTTCTCTTCCCTCCTTCACATCTGCCTGTCCCATTCTTGTCCAGGGTCTTATTCTACCTACCCACCAGTGCCACCACCACCCTCAATGCCCTCTTAACTGCCAGCTTCACTTTCAAACCTGTCCCCTGAAGGATGCCAAACAGTTAGAATGCCTGCCATGCCTCTTCTCTTCATCCCCCCTCCACACACACACACACACACATATACAGCCACTCAGCCCGGCCACCCACCTCTGAGTGGAGTGAGTCTAGCTAGGCTTCACCTCAGCCTTCCAGCCCTTTCCTGTAAATGCACTCACCGCCAGGAGGGGTGCCATATTAAATCAAGACTGATGGAAACCAGTGACTGTGATTATCCAGCCAAGATGCAGCGCGGGAAGCTGGTTGCTGCCAGCTCCAGGTGAGAGCTTCTAAAGTTAATTGTACATGACTTTTATTAAGAGGATGATGGCTCCCCACTCCTTGCTCTTCTGGCCATCTCCTGGCTCTTCTGGTTACCTGCTCTGTCTTCTCCTCCAGATAGTAGAACCCCACTAAAGCAGAACTTTGAACTCAATCTTATAGTCTTCCTCCCCATCTCAAAGAGCCAAGGACAACAGTAGCTTACATTTATAGAGCCCTTACCAAGCTTGTCCTATCTTTTCTCCTCTCCCCCAAATAGAACATACACAAACCAACAATTTCCCTTTTGTAGTTTCTTCTACTGGCTAGCTTTTTACAAGGCAGGGCTCAGTGATTCATACATGCATGCTTAGCATGCACAAGGCCCTGAGTTTCATTTATTCCATAAACTTTTTAGTACAAACTCTGGGGAAAGAACACGAAGCAGTAACCTTTGGCCTAGTTTAATCTCAATGTCCTGTACATTTTTATCAAAGAAAAAGTCTGACGTGCTTTTAGATTTAGACATTTTTCTGAATAGGCGTAGGTATACAGGACTCCAGACTTGAGAGAATCAGGATGTGCTCAGAGGTTTAGCTCATAGGTTGAACCTTTCCCAGGACCATCTAGAAAACTCTTGAGGAAACAGCAAATTCATGGTATAAGTTTACCACCGTGCTCACCTCCATAGTAATAGGACTGTTTCACCTTGCCAAAGAAATTCCCAGGATTACTAAGTCAACCTAAAATCATGACACTGGAGGAGAGTGATAGGAAGAAGAAATGTTTCCTGGAGAAGAGTTGGATTGGGCAGGAGGGTCATTCCTCAATCAACAAAGTGGAAAGAAAAATCATGTTAGGCTTTGCCTGGCATAAAAGAAAAAGGTGTGTTCTAGTGAGGCCCCACAGACCAGATGATGCAAAGTATCTAGAAGCAGAATTCTCTACCATGTAAGGAAAACTATGGGCCAGAGAGAGATAAGCTGCCTGAGGCAATAGTGGTGTCTCTAGAAGCCAGTCAGGTGCAGCCTGCACCTGTAGAACTGGGTTCCTAGAAGAAGAAGCCTCAAGAGCCACTTCCAGGACAGCAGAGCACCCAAGTAGACTTGGCTCCTGGCTTCTACTTAAGTCAGAGCAACTCTTCTTTTTATCCATAGACCTCCACGTGGTTAGATTAATTAAAAGGAATCCAGCACCGAAAAAAAAGACACTTAGATAATGTTATCAAAATGCAGTGAAAGAAAGACAAGTATCAAAAAGCCTCCTAAAGGCCAGATACTATGCCAGTCACCTGAGTCACTTGGACAACCACTACACGCCTTTGCTATATTCCAGAGTCTGCCATGTGTTTTACATACATTGACTCATTCACTCCTCACCAGCATCCCCCAAGGCTCCTGCATGGTAGGTAAAGTACGAGTCTGTGCCACAGTAAGGAAACTAAGATTCAGGGAGGTGAATTAACTTCCCCAAATCAATTAGCTAATAAACTGATAAGGTGAAGTTTGAGCTCATGCCTGTCTAGAGAGAAACTTGTTTTTTCTGTCATGTAACTTGTCTCACTATCAGCTGAAGAGGAGTCAAACTTTAGGTTGGGGATGACTGTAAGAAATAAATGAGATACTGTGTATAAAGTGCTGTGCACAGTACCTGGCACATGGTAGTCTCTCACAGTAGTGAGCAAATGACCCCAGTAAATCCTGACCAACCAGCTTTGCCTTCAGGGCCTGTCCAACTGCAAGCGAGCATTGCCCCAGCCAGTGTGTGCACATCTCTTCATCAGAGTCTTCCAGCCCAGTGGACCCAAGTGCTGAGCAGGCTGCTGGGCAGGGAGAAGGAAGAGGCAGATATATGGCTGGAGTCAGCAGAGCCAGGTGATATATGTGGCGCCTGAGGGAACTGCACAGTGACACTCTGGATTCCGCCGGCAAGCGTCGTTCCACTGGGATCGGTGCCGAATTATTGCTCCATATGAAACCCAGGACTGATGGGAGCTTTCAGTTACAGACTGATAGCAACAGCCAAAATTGGATTGTTTGCTATTTATTTTTTTTAACTTCTGTCAAGGTCACTACCATAACAGGAAAACACTGCCCAAGCAGCAGGTATTTTTCATCCACTCTGCCCACAAGAGCAATCTGCAACCACAACTTTTGTGACAGAGCCTTACCTTGACAGCTCTCTTTCTAAAAAGATGTTAGTGTCACAGCAATCCTGGGAAAGAGTTCTCCTGAACACCTAGCTTTCCTTTCCAGTCCAAGACCCACCTCCTTTCCCCTTGGCCTCTGACATCTATAAATGTTTCACCATAGGGCCCACACCCTCAGCCCTCTCTACCTAACCAGCAGACAGTCCTCCAACTTCTTCAAGCCTCTTGTTCCCCAAAAGCCACCCTCTGAAATGTTCCACATTCATGTTTCTTCCCTTCTCTCTAGTTCTGAAGCTGTTGAATCTCTCTTCTTTGTATCTGTCATCAAATTTAGTCTTATAAACACCAGATGCCACCACTGTGCCAGGATCCATACTGGTGTCTGTTCTCAGGGAGGACATAAGTCAAAGGACAGATTCACAAACATTCAGCAAGCTATTTTCAAGTAGTGTTTTTAGTGAAAGGTGCAGTCCTATAGGTTTGCATTTATGCTGAGAAGCCACAAGGAGATTGTTGGTCCTACCTGAGAAGCATCTGTGGGACCCAGTCCAGGTGAGGGCTCTGTGCTCATGCACCAGAGCTGTGCCACACAGAATGAAACTAGGGTCAAGCACCCCTGAGCCGTTTGTCCTCTCTCCCCACAGTACCAGGAGAAGCAACGTAAGCGGGAGGCTGAGGAGCGGCGCCGCTTCCCCCTGGAGCAGCGGCTAAAGGAACACATCATTGGCCAGGAGAGTGCCATCGCCACTGTGGGTGCTGGTGAGTACACGGGCACTAGCCAGGCTGGGAAGGGCAAGGTAGCTTGTGGTGTGCTTCTTTGGTTTACACGTTCTGCTGCCCCAAACTGGAGAGATGCAGTTAATATTAAAAGTTAACATTTATTGAGTACTATCTGTATGGCAGGCATTGTTAGAAGCTCTTTGCCCATCTTGTGTTCATATGGTCCTTATAGCAATACCATGAAGTTGGTACCATTAAATCCCTATTTTGCAGATGAGGAAGTGAAGACACAGTACTTCAATAATTTGTTCAAGGCTGCTTAGAGTTGAACTCTCACTTTAATCTGGTCCACTATCCTCATGCCTCACTTTTAAGGTGGGACACCTGAGACCCAGAGAGGGGTGGGAGCCTGTCCATCACTAGTAATGTGGCAGCTGAGCTAGGATACAACTTCCATTTTTGTATGCCAGTCCATCCCAGGCCTTCAGAATAGCTTATGGGCAGCTGGCTCAACCATGGAGAAAACATTTCAAACAGCCGTGGAGTGCCTTCTTCCCACTGGTGACATTTATTCTCATTCTTTGGCCTCTAGGAGCCAAAGCCTACTGGACAGATATGTACAACTAGGTTCTATTGAAGAACCTAGGCGAGTGGCCTCACCTTTGTTCTCCAGTTCTGGTGTGTGCATCTCTAAGAGTGGTTTCAGAAGGATGAGGCAGGGGAAGAGGAACCCTGTGCCAGGCTGAGCAATGGGCCTTCCATCCCAAGGCAGTGGTTCTCAAAGCATGGCCAGCAGTTTTGGCCTCCTCTGAGACTTGAGAAATCTGATCTCCGACATCACCCCACTCTGTGAAATCAGGGTCTGTGTTTAATTGGCCCTTTGAGCAATCCGATACTCTGCTGGAATTTAAAACCCACTTCTCTGAGATGTCTTTACCAGTCCCACTGGCATGTTGTTCATTCTTCTCTCCAAACATCTAGTCCCATTAGATGCAGCCTAGTGACTGCTAAGGGATTCATCAGCTTCTGCTCATGTAGAAATGTGCCACCAGGCTGACACATTGGGCCCAGACTGATCTCAATCATCTTCACACACCAGTGGGGCTCATAACCCCCATGGAGCCCCTTACCACTGGTCTGACTCTGTCAACAGAATAAAGGAGCCCATAGATGAGAGCTGCCTTCCCCTCTAGAGATCAGAAGGCAGCCTGCAGGCACACACAGGAACTGGGAGAGCTTTTGTGAATACATGGGGCCCTACTAGTCAGGCCAACACACACCCAGGATGCTTCTTGGGTCTAGATACAGACATCCATCCTTAATTGCTACCGAAGAGGTGGCCACCTTAACTAGAGGACTGACAGAGTGCCTCTTACTGGAGTCATTCATCCACTTGGATCAAGACTGCATCTTCCATAGTCTTCTCCTAGCTTCTTACAACACCCTTCCCAGCTCCTCCCCAACAGGCTACCTGCTGTTCTCTGGCCTCTGCTTCTCACCAGACCTTTAAGCTCAGAAGGTGTAAAGCTCCCAGAAGTAGGATTTATTGGGGTTACTAAGTTAGAAAGAATTAGACTAGCCTGGGTCTTCCACTTTCTGCTGTGTACCAGCACCCTCTCAGCTTCTTTGGGCATTAGTTTCCTCCCCTGCATAGTAGGGCACCAAGTCCAAGACCCTGCAACTCTAAAACATGTAGTCATGCTGACTTTGCTTCACACCATGACTACAACCTAGTCCCTGTCTTCAAGATACTCATTTTCTTGGTTTGGGTCAGGCCCACAGCTATATTCTTCCACCTGGTACTGAATCCCAACCCCAGTTTGCCTCTTCTCTGGCCTTATGCTGACCTCTAAAGTGTCACCTCATCTTGTCTCTCCTTGCTGTTGGCCCAGAGCAAGAGTAGATTATTCATTTCCCACCCCCAAGGGCTGTCAGTGTGTACCCTGAGTGCCTCCTTCCACCCAAAGTTCCCTTCTATCACTTGAACTCTGCCTCATGTTGGTGATGAAAATGGCTGCCCCAGAAAGCCCTGCTCTTTGTCCTATGGTATGTAGATTGACCCTGCTATGGCTCTAGTGACCCTAGAAAAGACAGGGTGGCCCTTGAGACCCAGGTTATGCAGGGTTGATGCTTTTTTGCCTCCATTTGCAAGGCGGTTACTGCACCTGCCTTGTTGAGAAGCCCTGCAGCTGGGATCACAATGATAATATCCCAAACAATGTTCATCTCCTGTGACCAGTTCCAAAGGCTTCTGGACCCCAGGCAGCTTCAAGCCCAAACAAAGCTTCGGGTACTTACTAGGTCAGAACTTACAATAGGCAAGTGGCACCCAAGACCTCAGCACCTCAAGACCAAAGCAGGTACAGGAGAATGAGGTGCATCTAGAGAATAGGCCAGGCCTGCCTGGGTCCTCTGGGCTAGTGTCACATGTAAGCTAGGGATTGGCTGGGCAGGAATGGAGCCTGGCACCCCATGGGTACCATGAGGATGGGCAGCCAGCAAAGTGCTGCAGAATGAATTGATTTGATAAATGGCCATTTATTACCCTCACGAATTGGCTGAAACCAATTTCGGTCACATCAACCCCTGGTAAGTGCTGGGATATTGATTTGTGCAAAGTAATACAGTGAATTTATCAGTGTGATCCCCAGCTGCAGGGCCTCTAGCAAGGCTGGCGCACAGTTACTGCCTTACAAATGGAGGAGATAAAGTACCAGCCTCACAACCCAGGCCCCCATGGCCTCTCTGGTCTTCTAGGGTCACAGGAGTCATAGCAGGGCCAGCCTGCATACCACAAACCAAAGTCTGAGCATTGGGAAGTGAAGTTACCCCTTCCAGAATCCAGTGCTGACCATGGGATGGGAGAATGCCCAACCTGTCAGGCAGACATCCCTGCAGCTCAGCACCTCTAAGCCCCCACAGAAAGGCAACTAGCTGTGCATTCAGCACATTCAGAACTAGGCCACTATTCTCCCATCTCCTGAGTAGAAACTAAAACACTTCCTTGGCCCCTCCCCCCTTACAGCCTAAGTGTCAAGTTCTGTCATTGTCCCTCGTATCTGAACCATATAGTCTTCTGCCTCCTTTCTTTCCACTAGAATCAGCCCCCCTCACTAATGGAGTGATCTTTAGAAAACAAATCTAACCATGCCACTCCCTGTTGAAAACATTTGAGTGACCTTTGCTGTCTTAATGTGGCATATGGGGCACCTGCTACCACTGCCACCCCAGCTTTGCACTGTGTACTTGCTAGCCATTGCAGCTTGCCTCTGCCTCTCAGCCTGCACTTCCTTCTTTCTGGCCCTCCACCACATACCCCAGCCCATCTTCCACACACTGACTGGTTTCTCCTTGGGTTAACAATTGAACAGCAGTGGACTTCAGGCTCCTTGATGGTGGATACCGTGACTTAATTGTGTTTTCCCAAATCCTGCCACTGCACCCTGCCCAAAGTGGATGAATGCAGTTTGTGAAATTTATTTACATGATGTGGCCCCTTGTCATTCTCTGTGATGTGCTCTGAGGAAAGAGAAGCTGCGTGCCTGCCTTGTAATAGCTCACAAGCGTATTGGAAAGGGGCTCCAGCAAGATTGTTAATTACAACATACTGCTTGACCTTTGATTCCCTGGGTATACCTGCTGTATAAAGCCTCCCCTGGGCAGCAGGTCAACCTGCATATACCTGGCATATACCTTGGAGCTGTTACTGATCAGGGATGTGTGCTTGACAGCCATTCAACCCAGTCCCAGTTGATCCTCTAAAGCCCCTGCACCCCCTCAGGCAACTCTATCCCTTACCTGCCCTTCTGCCACATTGCCTGCCTACAAACAGAGTTTCAGCATCAGTCATGTGGAACACCAGGGCGTAACGCCTTACCACTGCTTCACTTCCCTGGTTGACCACAAAAGTGTGATCTTTCCAAGCCCCTGTCTTTGTCCTCCCTTTGAGTCCCAGTGTCTGACATGAGCACTGAGCACTATATCCCAATCACCCCGGAGTTACAGAACTTCTTACAGCTCCATGGCCACACCATTTCACTTCAGGGTCTTGCCTGTGCTCTGCTGTTCTTATGGCCTGGGCTGCCCTACCTTTCTACCTTGTCTCCACCTTGCCAAGACCTAGGCCTTCTTCAGGAACACACACACACACACACACACACACACACACACTAGGCCTTCTTCAGGAACACACACACACACACACACACACACACTAGGCCTTCAGGAACACACACACACACACACACTAGGCCTTCAGGAACACACACACACACACACACACACACCTGGATTCAGGGAAAAGGTCCAGGGACTTCTAGTGAACACCTTGACACTGCACTTATCGCATGGTATTTGCTGCATCGTTCTTCCTCAGAGGTCAGGAATTACCTCCAATCAGCTGTTTCCCAGAGTTGGGCACACTTGTATAAAGGTTGTACTCAAGTGAATGTAGTCTGAGCCTATTTTGACACTGAACCATGAGTCCCTCTTAAGAGCTAGTTCCCATGGGAGATGCCACAGCGTGGCGCAACCATGTTTGTACATTAGGTTAAATAATTTCCTATACTAGATCAGTAGAACCCTCAGAACATGGGCTGGATGCAGGCAAAGGTCTGGGGTGGAAAGTGCCTGCTCTTTTCTCCCTTTGCTTTTCACACACTGGAGCCTTCCTAGAATGTCCTATCCTACCTCCACCTGCTTGGTAGTCTCCCCCTCGTACTTGGGCATAAATGGCTCTCCCATATTCCCAGTGTGCCCATCCCACTTGAAGCCCATGGTTTTCATGGCAGCACTTACTCACAGGTACAAGCCTTGTTTAGGATCTGTGATGGTTGCCCACACCTGGCAGGAGCTTGTTTGCTGAAAAAATGCACAAGTCTCCCTGGAGAGGGTGCAGGAGAGTAGAAGCCTTCTTCACCCCAGGGTATTAAGAACCAGCTGGAATATGAAGAGACTCTTCAGTCCAGGCTATACTCTCCTCTGTAAAATGGGAGTTGAAGAATCTGTTCTTTCCCCTTGCCATTCCAGAAAGATCAAGAACTAATTCATTTAGTCAGGGTCCCTCAGGAATTGGGATGCCCAGCACTGGTTCCCCTGGAACACAAAGATTGACATTAATTGGGCGTACTTCTCCTGAATATGAGGACACAAGCAGAAGAAACCCTTACATTGCCCTCTCTGAGCCATAGTTTTCCTCCTGTGTAAAACAGATACAATGCCTACTTCTTAGGATTATTACAAGGATGAAAGAGCTATCTTTAAAATGCCATAGCTAAGCCAGGTATGATGGTGCATGCCTATAATAGCATTTGGGAGGCTGAAACAGGAGGATAAAGAGTATAATAAATGAGGCAGGCACTAGCCTGAGAAGCCAGGATTACAGGTTTGAGCCAGTAATCCTAACTACTCAGGAGGCAGAGATCAGGAAGATCACAGTTCAAAGCCAACTCCAGGTAATAGTTCATGAGACCCTATCTCAAAAATACCCAAGACAAAAAAAAAAAAAAAAAAGACTGGTGGAGTGGCTCAAGTGGTAGATTGCCCACTTGAGTTCAAATCCCGGTACCAAAAAGAGAGAAAAGGTGCAAGAACTGAGCTACATAGCAAGACCCTATCTTTTTGGTTTGTTTGTTTGCTTATTTGTTAAAAAAAAAAAAAAAAGACTGTAGCCTGTAATCCCAGCTACCCAGGAGAATGAGATCAGAGGAAAACAGTTTGAGGCCAGCCCATTCCAAGAGTTAATGAGAGAGACCTCATCTCAATCAATAAGCCAAGCATGGTGAGATACACCTGTGACCTAGCTATGCCAGAGCCTAAGATTGGAGGATTGTGGTCCAAGGCCAGCCCTGGACCAAATAAGCCCAAAATCCTACTAGAAAAATAACTAAAGGATAAAAGGCTCAAGTGGTAGTGCACCTGCCTAATAAACATAAGGCCCTGAGTTCAAACACCAATACTGCCAAAAAGAAAAGAAAAAGCTAGTGACTGCTGCCATTGCTTCCACTTGACTTCCATTACTTTTACTGTCATGCCAGTCTTTGCAGCTTACAAAATGCTTTCATAACAATTAACTCATTTCTTATTCATGTAGGGCTGACACAGCATATGTTCCTATTTCCATGTTATAGATGAAGAGGCTGTAAAGGAATAGGTGTTTTACTCAGTCAACTAGTGACAGAGTTAGGACAGAGGTTAGCCCCTGTAACTTCTAATCTCTCCCCAATACCACTTTGGAAATGAACATGTACCGAAGAATACAGACCTTGAATTAATGGGTAGATGTGCTGGGGTGGTATTAATCACAAACAGTTGTTGCAGGTGAGACAGGACACAGCAAGGTGAGCAGTAGCACAGCATATGGCAGGCAGAGGAGCCTGCAGAGCAGGGACCAGGCAGGGAAGGGTGTGCTGAGTTGCCCATAAGAGGACCCTTACACCGTCTGGAGCACAAGATCAGTAGTGGGGTCAGACTCCTGAGGCCATGTGTTGAATGGCTGAGTGTGCCAGATTGAAAGACTACAGAGGGAAGGTTTTCCAAGTGAGGCAAGGATATGAGGAGATGCTGTGCAGTAGAGAGCCAGAAAGACAGACCTGTCTCCTCTCCCTATGCTCCTGAGCACCAGGGTAAGCCCACAAGTCAGCCAGCGTAGGGGTAAAGCCCAGGTCTTCATTTATTTTCCTGTGAAACCTTGAGCAGATTTCCTAACTTCTTTGTACTACCTTCTCATCTATAAACTAGGAATCAAGTTTCCTTCCCTACTTGCCTCTTCTGTTCATAATGAGGCTGATTGAAATTAAGTCTACAGAGTCTTTATAGAGTGTAAAGTGCTGGCAGAGTAAGTTGCATATTTGCTAACCCACAGTGAGATCATCAGCACTTATAGCCACATGCACGTGGGCTTATTGAGGTCTCCATCCATCCCAGCCTCTACCCTAACTTGACAGGACCCTCTAGGCTCCCCAGTTTTGGTCCTCATCCACCCTGCCAGCCACACACCCCGCAGCTCGCCTTCCCCAGTCCTTCCTAGCTACTTCCATTTTTCATTCTGTCGGACTCCATCTGGTGGGCCGTTTTTCTCTTCAGATATTATTAGAAATATCCAGAGTTGTAATTGTTTAATGGTTGGCATTTCGCCTGTTTCATGAGGGGCCAAGATTAAACCCACCACAGACTCATGCCCTCGGTCTGGAAGAATTGACCAGGGACAGCTGTGCAGTGGAGTCTGCCTGGCATTATAAAGAGCTCTCTCCCAGGTGCATCATTAGAAAAGAAGGGGGAAAAGATGGCCCCAGGCATAATTCAATTCCACATTCTCCATTGCTCAGCACAGCAATGTGCAGCTCTCAAAGGGTCAGGATACTACCCTGAAAGAAAAGCCAAGATCAGAACCTCATGTATGTTCTGGGCCACCTGTCTAAGTGATGCTAGGTACTTATGTCTCACAAGGTGTCCCATGAAGCCGGAACCCGGTTCTTGCTCAGCCTCTTCCCAACCTAGATTCCTAATTTAGCCAACTTTTGGAATAATGTGTCTTTCTTCAGGTGTCCTCTCAGCCTCACTCCAACACACACACACGTTACCACACAGTATCCTAAAAACCTAGTACTTCTGCTTTCCCTAAATATGATCATCCTCAGCTCCCTGTTTCTATCAAGAAACCCCTTCAGCCAGGCTTGGACTTTTTTTTACTTCATCCCAGTGGTCAGGCACCTGTGAAGTCAGTAAGTTCCTTTCATAGCCACACCTTCCAGAGAAGCTCTGGATCCTAGCCCAGAGGAGGGGTTGGACTGAATGTTTTCCCAGGCACCCTTGGGAATTCTCAGAGAGCATCTTCTGGACAGACAGAAGTGTCTGTGATGTCCTTGAGATTGCACAGTTTCCATCTGTTTCTACAGAGGTAGAGAGGTGGCAACATTAAAGTGAAAAAGATAGAAAGCCTGAGGCCAAACTAAGACAGGTGGTCCAGAATCTCTTAACGTGATCCCACCCACCACTTCTCCTGTTCATTCCTGTCTTCCACTTCTGTCATGCTTGTAAATTGTGTCCAGCTGCCATGTTCATCATCAGTCCCATCTCTTCTACACTGCCTTCCCTGGACTCTGCAGCTGCTTCTTTGAAGTGCAGCCCCACAGTAAAGCGTTTAAGAGCTTGACTCCTCAGGACTGGCAGACACATCTCTGAGACTGTCATCTCTTTCTCCATTGACTAAGCCTCCAGACCTTGTCCTCTGACATATGTCCCTTTGCTAATTTCCTCCTAACACTCAGGGGACTGGACCAGACATGCAGTTCCATCTGCAGACAGACCTTGATGTTGCACAGTGCTCCGTCCTCTTCCTGCTCCTGACTGCCACGTTTCCATTAATGCAACCCAAATTGATGCTCACTTTCTAAAGCAGTCATATGTGATTTTTAAAAAGAAGGCAGGTTTAGAGAAAGAAGTAACTCTACCATCTGGTAGTTTTGTGACTTGCGCATGTCTGTTTATCTCTTGCCTCAGTTTCCTGTTCAGCATAACACCTTCCCATCAGGTGTTTGTGTGGATCTTGACTAAATACATTTGTTGGTGAATTTGCCAGCTACAGTCTCACTCTACTCCTTGCTCTTACACTTGAGCAAAGCTTCTGAGCTTGATTCTCCTATTCCTTAGTTGAGCACTTAGTTTCCTTGTCTTGAATGCATGGCCCTTGATCATATATTCTTCTTTCTTTTTTTTTTTTTTTCTTTATTTCTCATATATTCTTCTACACAAGAGCAGTCAGGGCTTACTTCAGCAAAGTTGAGCCCCAAGGGAACTTAGTACAGATCTGTTTCACTCCCCACACCCCACCCACACTGAGGCCATGTTTAAGCAGAGATGCTAACCAAGTGACTTACCCCTTCTGTGCCCAAAGCACACTATACTTGATTGGCTTCCAGAAAATGAATGTCGCTGTTTCCACTTCCTAATCCACAAAGCAGACCAGACTTGAATTTTCCCAAATGAGAAAGCGTCCAGAGCTCGCACCCCAGAACCCCAAGACCTGCCATGGACTTCTCCTTCTCACATTTGCATAGTGAGTAGAGGGATAACCAGTGAGAGCTAAAGTTCCTCTTGGATTCTTCTTCACCAATCTCCCACCCCCTTCACCTCCATTCACCATCCACCCGCCTTTCGGTTTCCCTGGCAACGCTGAGTGCTCATCCTGGAAAACTTTATCCGAAATCTGCTCTGGGCAGCTTTCCAAATCCATGCTAACCTGATTAGGTGTCTCTAGGGGCCTTGCCAGCTAATCAGATTAGGCAGCCCTAATGGTAGTGAGGACTTTGAGTGGGCGCAGAGCAGTAAAACATATTGTATACTTAGTGATAATTATCCTGCCTTTTGTGTCATTGATTTATCTGCCTCCCTCCCTGTCCCCCTGTGTTGTGTTTGGCCATAGCGATCCGGAGGAAGGAGAATGGCTGGTATGATGAAGAACACCCTCTGGTCTTCCTCTTCCTGGGATCATCAGGAATAGGTAAATGGGAACAGATCAGCCAGTAGGGAAGGAAAGCTGGGGGAGTGCCTGGCCCAAGCAGGACAGCCCCATCTCCAAAGGTCAGGGGTCACCTCCCACCTTTACTTCAGCTCTCATGTCCAGAAGCAACTGTCTCCAAGTTACAGAGCCACCAAGAAAGAGGACTCTGGATTTTTAAATCATCTGCTGTGTTATAGACAGCTGGAGTCATGCCCTCTCTCCAGAAGCTATGGTGTAAGGGCTAATTTACCTCAGGACCTGTTAGCCCTGGTCCAGGGGCTCTGAATCCTCAAGCGCCCCATCCCCAGGGCTCCCCTCTGAAGACAATTAAACATACCCACTTCCCAGCCCACCAGCCACATTCAAGACAGCCTAGCTTTGGGAAGCTAAATAAAGCCCCAGTGACAAGCACTGTGCCAGGTGCACAGCAGAACACGTTGCAGTAAAATGGGTTGGTTATTTTTCTAGTCAGTTGGATTGCATTCTCTGAAGTATTCTTGCCTCTTCCTTTCCACCCTCACAGACCCCCTCTCCTCCACCCTCACCTCCCACCATTGTCTTGATGGGTATTTGGTGGTTTAGTTGCCTTCTCTTCCCCTCCCAACACCTTCATGTACCTACTCACCCTCAGATGTCAGGTCCCAGTAGGGTACCAGCCCTTGACCATGATACTATATGTACCACACAGTGACTTCCAGTGGCCTTACCATCATTCCAAATGGCCCTTCAGAACTACCACTTCAGTATTGTCATTCTTTTTATCACAGAGAATGACTGTGAAGCCAGTAGAAATTACTCTTCATTTAATTTTTGATGTAGGGTCTCACTACATAGACTAGGCTGTCCCAAACTCTTTGTAGCCCAGGCTGATCTAAAACTCATGATCCTCCTGCCTCTGCCTCCCAAGTGCTGGGATTACAGGTGTTCACTACCCTGCTGGAAGGTACTCTTCACCCCCTCCCAGCCCCTACTTGACATGTTGTTCCAGGACCTGGATTAATGGCAGGACCATGGTGGGTAAGATGTGAGGCAGTGAGCCAGGAAGTCAGAGCATTCCTAGAAGAAGGGAGGTTTGTGCTTAAAAGTATGATTTGAGTCAAGTCAGCCTCACCCTTAGCATGCTGCTACAGAGACAAGGCCTCAGTCCCATCACAGAAAAATGAAGATGTAGTGTCTACTTTGATTCTGGCCCCACCCTTTTCACCCTAGGTGACTCTGGGGGAGTTTCGGAGTTTGGCATTTCCATCCATAAAACACATGCTTTCTAGTGTCCCTGCATTTGTTCTTTCACTCCAGCAAACAACCATCTGGTCCTAACCCAATTGCTCTCCCTTCTTTCTTACCAGGAAAAACAGAGCTGGCAAAGCAGACAGCCAAGTACATGCACAAAGATGCCAAAAAGGTAAGAACTAGGATTGACACCTGTTTTCCAACCATGAAGGGAGCCTTGCTTCTCGTGCTGGCCCCAGAATCTCAGGCTCTCTGAATCTAGCAGTAGCCAATCAAAAGGATGGGCCCTAACCTAGAAAGCAGGCCTCAGCTCTTGCCAGTAGTTGCTCCAGGAATTTGGTAAGTTATCCAACCTTTTTGGGCCTCAGTTCCTTCCTCTGTGTGAAGTAGGAATAATCATCCTTGGCCTGCCTGACTCTTGGAGCTCTTGGGAGAGCCTAGTGAAATTCATCCACACAACAATGTGGAAGACCCATCCAAGGCCAGGCATCATGATGGACGCACTAACTGCTAACGCAGCATTTACTGAGGCTTTCCTTCCCAGGGGCTCAGGCTATGTAGGTTTCCAGGGTAGGCAGGGCTGTGGTACAGGGAGCCTTGGGGGCTGTCAGAGAAAACAAATAGAAATGGGCTATTGCCTGTTGCTGCTCTGCATCCTGCATGAGCTTTTAAACCTGGTTTCTTGTGCCTTCAGCTTGGGCTGCTTATGTGCTCCTTCAGATGGCTAAGAGCCCTAGATTCTCCCAGGAAAGGGCCACCCCATCCCCAGTTTGAGCTTTTCAAGGCCCTCTCAGTTTGACTCACTAGGCTGGCAGGAAATGCTTTAGAGAGAGCAATCCTTGGAGAGAACATGAAACATTTCATCCAAAGCTAGATACCCTCCTACCAGTCTTCCCACCATTAAGCTGAAGTCCCTACTGCTGGATGTTGTCTGAGACCCTCAGTGTGCTTGCCTAGTTTCTGTGGAAAGCCTCCCCCACTGAGGCAATGCGGAGTTGCTTAGGCCTGTGCCTGCCAAGTGGCCCAGAATGCTGGCCTCCTCTTCACTTGTGGCCTCCCTGTTTCCTTGCCACCTAGTAGAAAGCCTGGCAGCCACAGGAACATGAAAGCTCAGGCTTTGTCTCCTGACCCTCTTCTGCTTAAGAACCTGCAAGAAACCTCTCTAGCCTCCTGGGCTCTGCCAGTAGCATTGTGCTCTGCCTCAGCCAAACCCAGAACCGACCCACTAGACAAGCAGGCAGGCAGGAGACAGCACATGGCTTGCAAATGTGCTGCAACTGAAATAGCGTTGTAAGACAATTCATCAGGTTGGCAGCGATTGAAACAATTAGCACTCTGGAAAGGGCCATAAACTAACGAGACTATTAGGGAAGATGCAGTTACAGGCAGGAACCACCTGATTAGGGATGAAGAATTTGGAGTGGTTTAATTTTAATACTGTCAGAAAGGTTAATATTTAATTACAAATTATAACCTCCTTATCCAAGCTGTCTTAATATGTCTTCATCCACAGTGGAAGTTGAAGGAAAGTATCTGCTGACTTGCTGGTGTGGAAAGAAAAAGGGGCTTATTAAAAGACTGACGATGCAAGTAATTTTTAGTTGGTACATCTAAGTGGGAGATAGACTTTCCCCAATACAGGGTGTTCCACAGGCAGAATGATGGCATCCTTCAGTACATGCCTTGCCCAGGAAGAAGTAGCACCAGCACCCCCCACGCCCACTGTTGGAGGCAGTGGACTGTGATGGACAAAGTTCTGAGGCCAGCCATTTCTTGCCTTAAGCTCCTGTTCTGCTTTCTCCTGGCCCTAGGCAGTCACCTTCCCCTGAAATGTCAGCTCTCTTGCCTCAGGGTAAAGTTGCTATCCTGTGTCTGCGGTTGTGGTGAGCATCAGGAGATAATGTGAGTCACAGCTCACTCAGGCACTAGCATACAGTGAATGCCACCTCCCTTGACTTGTGGCATATTCATCACTTCACACTCTCCACAACAGTGCCCACCTACTACTATTATTTGATCCTATGAGGAACATAGCACAGATGCTAACTTAGACCCACTTTTCAGATGAGGAAATTGAGGTCTACAGCATCAAGAGGCTTGTCCAAGATCACTTGTTAGGAGAGGAAGTAAAACTAGAATTCAGTTCTCAATTTCTTTCTCAGTACCATTTTGTTCTCAGATGCTTTAGGAGACTAGGTTGTAAACTTGTCAGTTTGTCCCTGTTTGACATAGGGAGATGAAAGGCATGACAAGCCTCAAAAAATTCTGTTTTATTTTTAAATTATGGGTGATTCTTCTATAAAGTTTCTACCAGTATAAGCCCTCTGGGCCAGCTCACTGCAGGATATGGTTAACAGACCATTTTCTCACATTGTCTCACAGTGTGAGAGTATTCTGGACTGAAAGCTGTCTGACCAGTGTACCTAATACTTCCAGGACCCAAGCAGGGGTGTGCAGAAAGTGTCAGGTTCACAGTCCTCCCTTTCCTTTGCCTCCCTAGTGCTCATGAAATGAAAGAAGCACTGGCCTGTGAGTTCAGTGACTTGAATTCTAGTTCTGGCTCTGATCCTTAGTTTCCTCATCTATAAAAAGGCACTAAGACCTGTGGACCTTGCTACCTCACAAGGCATTCTTTTCACATTTATACAATTTTTTTTATCAGACCTTCTTACATTTTTTTCCTCTTATATTTTTTTTCCTTCTTATATTTTTTTTCCTCTTAGTCTCTGTACTGTTTCTGCCAAATTAAGCAGCTTCGTTAACTTTCGTAACTAGAGTTAATAGTCCTTTAAAAACAGAACCTTAATGTTATTTTGTGTTGTCATCATGAGGTAAGGTGGTTGAGCCCAAAAGACTTGCAGTTACAGAGGGAGTTTGATGTCAGGTTAAGACAACTGGGTTCAACTCCCAACTCTCTCCTACTATGTGGAATTGGCCAGAACCTCTGTTTATATCTGTTTTCTCATTTGTAAAATAGGTTCAGTAATGTTGCCTGTCGATACATTGGGTTGTTGTGAAGGTTAAATGAGATAAAGATATAAAATGTTAAGCACAATTCTTGGCACATAATAAGCATTCGATACATGTTAGAAGTCATTATAATGCTGCCTAACTTTATAGATAAGCCCAAGCTGAGATCATTGAAACTGAAATGATTCCAGCCAAGAAAACTAAGCCTAAAAGACTTCCAAAGTTACATAGCAAATCATTAGAAGAAATAGGGTGAGAAGCCAGGTCACTTGGCATAAGCAAGCACTAGAGTGTATGCTTTCAATATCATGACCTCAGAATCTTCCAGTGAAGACCTCCAGGAACCCAACTGGTTGGCAGAGGGGAAAATAGGAGACAGTAGAGCATATGGCTAAGAGCACAGACATGGAGCCAGACAGCCAAGCCTGCATGACTTTGAGCAAGTTACTTTAATCTGTGACTTGGTTTCCTCATCCGTAATGGGGATGATAACAGTACTTACTTCACAGACTTGTACATGTGCTAGACCCTTGATAGCTTGCTTAGAAAATGGCCAGCCACATAGTAAGCACCAGTGAATGTCATCTATTATCTGTCAGAGATGTGCCTCTGACTTCAAGCCCATTGCTCCTCTGGACAGCTCTCCGAGCTTTCGTTTGACCATCCTCACTCTTCTGGAGGTCTGGGTGTCCCATTGCTGAGCTGTGGGAGAGACCCACTGGAAATGCTGGCTCATACCCTCTGTTCTGAGAGCCGTGCCTACCCCCACGTAGCCTTAAAAGTCTCTCAAGACTTTTCCCACCCCTTGGGTAAGTCTCTCTCAGGCCCCTAGTAAGCCAGGGAGTGCAGCCAAGAGCCTTGTGTTGCACAGGAAGAAATCATGGCTCAAAAGGAGTAGGCAGCATGGGCAAAACTGCAGTGGCAGAATTGCCAGCCCAGGCTCTTCCTACCTGGCTGAACCTCAGGATAAGAGTGAAGGGACAAAGAATTGAAAGTACATCACTGAGTGCCTTTCTTGAGCACTGACCGAGGTAGAATACAGCCCTGGGTTTAGACATTGGTGCCTCCCTCTGAGGGTCTTGGTGACATGTCACCCAGAGCTCTCAGGATTCACTGAGGTCTGTCTCTTGGATGGAAGCACATACCAGTAGGAGGGGAACCCAGCCATGGTACCTGTGAATGCCCTCCTAGTGCCCCAAATCGGGTTAGCTCTCCATGACTAGGAAGAGGCACCCTCCCTGTGTAAACTCTTCAACATGCTACAAGGTCCTCTCTTCTTCTGGGGCTAACTATGTCCCACTCCCCAAAGAGCCACTTCCTTGGGGACCATCTCAAAGCCCAGAGATAGAGAGATATTAATTAAATATTAAGTGAAATGAAGAAACTATTTTTTTTTAAAGTAAACCAAAACCAAACCCCACACAGGCTTGCAAAGTTGAGAGGCACCGTGGAGCCCATCACAACCATCCATACTAGTGGTGCTGACTTTGTCCATGCCTGTCTGTCCCGTGAGGTAGGATGCTCAATGACAGGGACTAAGATTTGTTCACTGTTATAACTCATCCAGCACACACAGTTTGTCCTCCAAAAATGTGGAATGACAGACAGTGTGGTAATCAGACCAGTAAAAGCCTGCGTAAAGGAAAGGACATCTTGAATCTGAATTAGAAAGGTAGGGACATGAGTGGCCTTATAAGGTGGAGAATGAGGGAACTGAGTAGGGATGAGTGTGCAGAAAAGGAGGCAAGGACCAGAAAAATCATATCATGAGGATATGACATGTGTCTTGGACTGGTGTGGACTGAGGACCCAGGGGTAGTTGAGGCGCCCTTTCCTGTGCCTTTTCCCTATCTTCCCCCCTCCTCACAGACTTGCCATCTGCTTGTTTGCACACAGGGCTTCATCCGGTTGGACATGTCTGAGTTCCAAGAGCGACATGAGGTAAGAGAGTCCTCAGGGAAGTGCACTTTGGAAAGCCTGTCAACATACCTGCTTTGGTATTCTGTATGGACTTGTCACTTGGGGCTTTGGGCTTCCAATAATTTCATTAGACCTGGGATTTGCCCTTGGAGGTACATGTGAGTAACATGGTCACTGGTGTGTTTTGCATAGGATTTGCTCTGAAGGAGCCCTCCCATGAAGAAATGGCAAAATTCTTACCACTCCAGGGGAGTGGTAAACTGTCCTGTTGAGACAGGCAGTCTTAATAGTGTATAAAGCTGTCTTCCCATACTGGGCCCATACTGCAGATTGAAGCATAGAAAGACCTTAGCATATTTCCTTCTTTCTACCAGGTGGCCAAGTTTATTGGGTCCCCACCAGGCTACATTGGTCACGAGGAGGGTGGCCAGCTGACCAAGAAGTTGAAGCAGTGCCCCAATGCTGTGGTGCTCTTTGATGAGGTGGACAAGGCCCATCCAGATGTGCTCACCATCATGCTGCAGCTGTTTGATGAGGTAAAAGCCAGACTGGGCCAGGATGGAGTGGAGGACACCTGGCATTATCAGGGGCTCTGAACAGCAAGGACCCAGGGCCCAGAGGCTGTCTGATCATTCCCCTGTTTGCTGCTCCCCCATGCATATGCTGAGTTACTTGAAGATGGCAGAGGTGGCATGGCCTCCTGTCTGGGCAGGGCCCTATTAGGGGACTCGGGAAGACAAGCATCACCCAAGAGCCAACATTTCATGGCTGCCCAAGCTTCCTTCTAGAGAGATGGAGGAGCAAATATGCCATGGCAAGGGCGGAGGCTTAGAGGGCTGAACTTTTTGCTCCAGCTCTGTTCCTGACTGACTCTCTGGCCTTGGTAAGTCACTGCCCATCTCTAGGCATTAGGGACCTCGCGTCAAGCAAGGAAGCCAGGTCATATAAGCTCCAAGAAACATTGTGGCTTCAGCAGCCCTTGTTTCTCTCTGTATAGCAGACTATGTCTCTACTGGTTCTTTAAAACGTTAACAGTCTTACTGCTGATAAGATATGTTATGGTGGCTCATGGTGGCGCTTCTTCACTGAGAAGCGCCAGGTTTCTTACAGACTGGACAGTTAGTTCCTCCCTTTATTGAGGAGAGTTCTAAATAGAAAAACTAACTTTTATGCAGTACATTCTACATGCTAGACCTCTGCTAAAGACTTAACAGGTGGGCTGGTGGTGGCTCAAGCAGTAAAGCACCTGCCTAGCAAGTCTGAGGCCCTGAGTTCAAACCCCAGTACCGCCAAAGAAAGAAAGAAAAGACGTAAGGCATTATCTCTAACCTTCACAATAACCAAGCAAGGTAGAGATTATCTCATTTTTTATAGAGGAAGAAAAAGGTTCACAGAGGTTATAAATGACATATCCCAGGCTGCAAAGCTACTGTATAAAAAACCAAGATTGGACTGAAGATATGTCTGACCCCAGAGCCCCAGTCTGCCCCTCTGTACCTCCTTACCTTGAGCCAGGGTTGCGGTTGTTCATGGTCATGTGAAAGGATGACTTCTGCCTTCCAGGGGCCCTGCCCTGCTAGGAGAACATAAGGAGCAGTGACTGAACCAGGGATGAGGCCTTGTCCTCCCCAACAGGGGCCACACTAGTCTGCACCAGGCACTAGGAAAATGGGAAGGTGTTTTACTTCACATATCACATTAAGCTCAGAGAGGGACTCCTCAGACCAAGCTAGAAAGATCCAGACCACCCCACTAGCTGGGGCAACCTTGCCCCTGCCCCAGGTGTGTTGCCATCCTCCCAGCTGGGGTTTGCTGGCAAGTCCTTCAGAGCTCACACATTCAGTTATACACATACTCCAAGCCTCCCACTCTGTTCTGGCCTGTTGGTGGGATTCAGGTACACAGTTGTGGAACACACCCAACCTTGCCCTCTGAGCTTCTGCTTAGGAGGCAGATAAAAAGGAGGTATGGTAGTAGCTTGTGTTTTTGTACTTTATATGCCCACAAGTTCTATGAAATGTATGTGTCAACTCATCCAGTCCTCCCAACAACCCTCTGAATGAAGGTCCACCTAACAGATGTGGACACTAAAGTTAAGCAAGAGTGAGTAATTGGTCTGAGGCCACACAGCTGGGAAGGGATAATTAAGGATTTAAACCAGGGTTCCACTCCAGAGCCTGCAGCTTAAATGACTACCATTCAGCTAGGACCAAAAGAGAGAGGCCAGAGACTGCAAGGACACACAGAATGCACCCAGCTCAGGGAGGTCGGTCTGACAGACTGTTTGGCCTCTGGCCCCCCTGAGTGGTTACTTCTTTTTTTTCTTTTTTTGAGTGGGTACTTCTGATGGCATCTTTGGTCCCGAGAGAGGGAAAGCAGTTGCTGACACCCTTCCCGTCTAGAAGCCCCTGTGTAACTCAGTCCACCTGCATTCCACTGACAACCTTTTAGGGAGCTGATAACTCCTTCCAGCAGCACCCCACCTAGCCTACTAGCTTTCATTGATCAAAGCTGCCATCTGTATTTACTTAGCCAGATTTATGTGTACATGCTCCTTAAAAACAGGGCCTTGAGCTGGGCACCAGCGGCTCACAGCTGTAATCTTAGCTACTTCGGAGACCGAGACCAGGAGGATCACAGTTTGAGGCCAGCCTAGGCAAATAGTTTGTGAGACCCCCATCTCCAAAAGAACCAGCACAAAATGGACTGGAGGTATGGCTCAAGCAGTAGACCACCTGCTTTGCAAGTGTAAAGCCCTGAGTCGAAACCCCAGTTCTACCAAAAAAAAAAGAGAACAGACCCTTGGCTGGTACATTCCAGCCATTCCCAGACCCAAAAAGTCAGGCAGAATGCTCTGTTAACTTAGCCCAGTAGTACTGCAGCAGACCTTCAGAGGATGAATGTTCATCACCAGGTGAACCAGTGGAGAAGGACCCGCAATAGAAACCTGACAAGCCAAAGCCGAGGGGCACTGCAGCTGCTCAGTGCGGCTCAGCTCCAGGAGGAATATGGGAGCAGAGTGGGGGAGCAAGGTGGCTCAGCAGGAGAGCGCTAGCTTAGCATGCTCTGGTTCCTGGGCTGCACCTCCAGTGCCACACCAAAAAGAAAGAAAGAAAAATGGGCAAAGGAGTGCAAATTTATCCAGCTCATAGTGAGGAGCATTTGAAAGACCAAGCAAGGAAGAAAGGGACAGTTTTCACTTTACAGAGATCCTGTAAGCAGCTATATAGAGAAGGGTCTAGAAGGGAAAAGAGTCCAGTGAGATGACTGAAAAATCTCCAGCTGGAGAGGCCTCATGTAAAGCAGGGTCTGTGCACTGTAGAGAACTCTTAGAAGGTTGCTGGTGAGAGAGAGGAGCCAGACATGACAAGTGGCCCAGTTTCTGGCCTGAGTGACCAGCTGGCTGCTGTGGCCATCATCTGAGGCAGGGAGCATGGGAGCTGAGCAGCAGACAACCCATTGGCGAGGAAAGTGAGGAGGCACTGAAGTTTGAGATTGCTGAAAGTCCCCAGTGGAGATGTCCAAAAGACCTGTCATCAATTTCTTGGGTCTGCTGCTTAGAAAATATCTGACTGAAAGTAACAGTTCAGGACTCCTGAAGCACAGAGATGCTGACAGAAGCCACAGTAATGGATATGATCTCTTGCCTAGGGAGAGTTCAGTGTGCAAAGAAGTAGTGAAGGCTAAACACAGAGCCTTGGCACCGACTAGGGCAGGTTCAAAGAGGGATTTACTACAGAGGCAGAAGGCAAACCCAGAGAACTCAGCTTATTTGCTTATTCATGAGGCACTGTGCAGGGTAGAGGGGACACAGACAAAACCAGTTCCTGCCTGGGTTTTATCATGAGTAGGACAGACAGGCAGCTAAAACACAGTTCAGTCTGCTGAGGTGGGTGCTACAAGTGCAGCAGTTGTAAGGGCACTTAATCCAGCCTGGAGGTATAAGGGAAGTCCCAGAGCCCACCCAACCCAGTTCTCCCAAGTATGGACCCAGAAAAGCAAGAACCCTGTTGCTCTCATCAAAACCCCATGCAGGACTTGTACTGGGTCACTTCCAAGTGACTCCAGAGTCTACAGCCCAGGGCAGAGGTCCCAGGAAGATACTGACTCGCAGGGAGCCCACTCTCTCCTCTTGCCTTCAAGAATTCATACAGGAAACAGTGGGAAAGCAGCCTGTAACCCTGTGGTGAGCATTCGAGCCCCACCCAGGATGTGTACTCTCAGGTTGCTTGCTGGTAAGTGACAGGGGACACCTCCCACTTTGGGACACATCTTAATTGCCAAGGAAACTGAGGAGAAAGAGGCATGATCACTGGAAGTCACCCTGTGGGTCAGTCACACCCTGCACCTGCTCCCCTCACCCACCTGGGACCCATCCTCAGGCCCAGTTATAAGCAGAGCTTTGATCTCTTGGAATGAAATTGCTGCTGGGTTATTGCTGTGGCCAGGACGGCAGCATGTGAACTCAGTCCTTGGGGATGAGCTCTGTGAGGCCAGTATGGAGCAGACACCGTGCCATGTCCTTGTGCTTGGGCATGTCACACAGGCACCCAGACCTGACCCCAAGCTCCACCTGCCCTCAGTGGGTTCTGATGTGTGTTAGTACCCTAAGTGGTGAGATTGAAGAGCTGGGGGCAAAAGCTCAAGGACATCCACTTGCACCCCTGCCTCCCTCTTCCCACCCCAAAGCAGGAACAGCAGAGTGACCAGCTCCAGGACCTGGTGCACTACACCCTTTAGAATAGATCCCTTTTGGAACTAAAACGTTCTCAGAGGCCTGGGCTGAGTGAGGGCTCCAGTAAGGCAGGGCTGCAAAGCACGCCCAGCACTCACAGGTGCTTAGCCGCTCTCCCTCCTTCCCCCTTTGTCTCTCCGGGCAGAACTGGGCCTGCTGGTGCGTGGACTGTAGACACAAGGACTGACTCTAAGTCAATCCCACACCTGCAGGGAAGGGGCAAGTTTGAACAGGCTGTGGCTGAGGCTAGGGCAGGGCCCAGCACTGCTGGCTCAGGCAGGAACCAACGGTCTCTCAGTGATCTATTCCCTGAGCACTGTTCTTCAGCTTTGTCCACATCCCAGGAAACCCCAGACAAATCTCACATCCATCCCAGTTGCTTCAGTGAGGAACAAAGGTGGTCAGACGGTTTGAGTCTCTGCTGTCCTGTATTCTAGCTATGAGACTTGTTAACTTCTCCAGCCTCAGTTTCTTTGTAAGGTTATAACTGCCCCTACCTCTGAGAGAGTTTGTGAGGATTCACAACCTTGCATTCAGCAAGCTGGTGTTGAACACTTCTTCTGTGCCCAATCCTGTCCTGACAAGCACTGAGGTTTGAACTCAGGACCTTTCACTTATTGGGCAGGCACTGTACCATCTGAATCACGCCTTCAACCCTCCTTTTCTCTTTCCTTGGTGCACCTGTCTCCAGTACAGATGTCTTCTATGTTATATCTCGAAAGAGGTAAGCATTCCAAGGCAACTTCCCAAGGCGGTTAAAGAAAGAACCTGATTTTCCATCCCTCTCTGTCAGGATGGAAGATGGTTCCCTAGGGATTACATGTTTCAACTTATGTATCATCTCCCACAGTGATAACAGCTCTGACCATTTATTTGTACAGCATGCTTCCTGAAGCTCTTTCACTGATATGACCACACCAACAGTCCTCACAGTCACCCTCTAAGATACCTTCCCCTGAACTCCTACAGCAACCCAGGTTCCCTTCATCATCGTCAGCATTGCTTTTTTCTTGGGTCTCACTGCCCCTCTAGACTAGGACTGTGATGAAGGCTCAGTGAGTCCCCAGTGCCCCAACCCAGAGTGGATTTCCAAGACAGTGTGTTGGGTGAGGAATCAGACTGACCACAGGACACCAGGGATAGTTGGGTGCCCTGAGGTACAAAACAGGTGCCTTCTCACCCAGAGGCCTCAGTCAGTGGAGCTGTTACAGCCAGGGTATGACTCCTACACCCAGAGAGCCCAGCGGGGGCAGGAGCACAGAATAAGGGTTCTGGGGAGGCTTCCTGGAAGAGGTGCATATTGAGATTGCTGAAGCCTATCCAAGTCACAGCTCTCTTACCGCACCATCCCGATCCATGCCAGGGCCGGCTGACAGACGGGAAGGGGAAGACCATCAACTGCAAGGATGCTATCTTCATCATGACCTCCAATGTGGCCAGCGAGGAGATCGCACAGCATGCACTACAGCTGAGGCAGGAAGCTTTGGAGATGAGCCGTAACCGTATTGCTGAAAACCTTGGTATGGTGTGTGGCCTGAGCTGTGTGGGCAAATTGTCTGTTTACCAGGGAGGCCGGGATTCGATTGGGGTCCTGGACTCAGGTGAAGTCCTAGAGCAAACACCAGGCACCATACCAGAGAGTGGAGGGGACAGAGCCATCCAGGTCTCAGGGGACTAGACAGATGCACGGTCAACAGATAGAGACTGTGAGAGAACAGCAAGTCAGAGACTAGACAGAAATGGACACAGCCTTTTTTTTTCCCCCTGAGATAGGGTCTTGTGAACTATTTGCTCAGTCTGGTTTTGAACTGCAATCCTCCTGATCTCTGTCTCCTGAATAGCTACAATTACAGGCATGAGCCATCAGCGTCTGGCTAGACACAGCCGTTTTGAGCCAGGGCTGGGTTCTGGAGAACGTATCAGGTGGGAGGCTGTGTCTGCCACCTTTCTTCTCAGGATAAACCCAGCAGCCTTTTTGCTACTAGTCAGAGTTCAGGTCCTAATCCTGACTCTTATCCCTATTACCCGCAACTCCTGCCTGAGGTACCCCAGGCTTGTGGCACAGGAGAGCTGGAAGGGTCTCAGAAAGTACCTGGTTAAATGAAGATCACACCAACAGGACCAGATCTCTTTCCATGGGCAAGGTCAAGGAGCAGGCACAGCCCAGAGCGCTCTACATGTGAGAAATAAGCAGTTTATGATTCTGTTTCCACAGGGGACGTCCAGATTAGTGACAAGATCACCATCTCGAAGAACTTTAAGGAGAATGTGATCCGCCCCATCCTGAAAGTAAGTCTTTCTTGGCAGGACTTTTGCCCCTGTCTTCCCCACTGGGGCCCAGAAGTTTCCTTGCTCCCTTACCCCAGTCATTGAGCTCACCCCACCCATAATCTGGCCTGCAGGCTCACTTTCGGAGGGATGAGTTTCTGGGGCGGATCAATGAGATCGTCTACTTCCTCCCCTTCTGCCACTCGGAGCTCATCCAGCTAGTCAACAAGGAACTGAACTTCTGGGCCAAGAGGGTAAGAGGGGACTGCCTGTGGATGTGGACAGGAAAGCTGGAACTCTGGATTGCAAACAACCTCTCCCCCTAAAGGTGGACCACTGTTGTGTGGGGTGGGGCCAGTGCCCCCAGGGGCACAGTCTCTTACAGGCCTCAGGCCATTGTGAGGGGCTAGGAAGCACCCATGCTGACAGGCTTCTCTCTGACCCTTATCAGGCCAAGCAGAGGCACAACATCACATTGCTGTGGGACCGCGAGGTGGCAGATGTGTTGGTTGATGGCTACAATGTGCACTATGGTGCCCGCTCCATCAAGCATGAGGTGAGCACAGGAGCCTGAGAGAAGTGAGGTACCTCCACACCTCCCTCCCTGGTGCCCCCCAGACCCAATTCCTGGGTTCGCAGCCTGTCTCCCTATAATTTGGTTGCTGGAATTGTCCACAGAGCAGAGGCCCCTTCAGAACCTAAACTCACTGTCTGGAGGGTAACCAAATATGAATGGAGAACTAGGTTGGAAGTTTCAGAAACTGATATTATGGAGCCTTTAGCACAATCCTGCAAGCTAGGTGCCATTAACCCCACTTTGCAGATCAGAAAACTAAGCTCAGAAAAGGTCTCTGATTTGCCCAAGTAGTAAGTGACAAAGGCTGACTCCAGACTCAGGCCACAGGCTGGGTGCAGGCCAACCCAGTGCTGACCATATCTCCTTCCACCACCTACAGGTAGAGCGCCGTGTGGTAAACCAGCTGGCAGCAGCCTATGAGCAGGACCTGCTGCCGGGGGGCTGTACCCTGCGTATCACTGTGGAGGACTCAGACAAGCAGCTGCTCAAGAGCCCTGAACTGCCCTCACCCCAGGCTGAGAAGCGTCTACCCACACTGCGGCTGGAGATCATTGATAAGGACAGCAAGACCCACAAGCTGGACATCCAGGCACCACTCCACCCCGAGAAGGTGTGCTACACCATCTAGCATCCACCTGCCTGTATGTGCCCTGAACATCCAATAAAGGCCCCTCGCTATAGCATGGCAACTGACCTCCCTTTGCCTTGTGCCTCTCCCTAAGGCCTGCTGCCCTCCTCACAGCCCCTGGAAGACCCTCCACAGCCCAGGCCTGAAGTGGGAATCCTGCTCTGCCCTGCCCTCTTGGTTGTGGGCCCACAGTCTGTTAGACAGTCTCCAGGAGAGGAGCTGCCTCTCTACCCTTCCAAGACGAACAGAGAGGTCCCTGATCTCTATCCTTCAGCATGTTCCCCATTCCCTATAGCCACTGGAACTTTATTGTGTTCCCAGAAGTTCAGAAGTATGGCAGCTACAAATATCTAGCTGAAAGAAGTCAGATCAGGCCATGATGCTCCATCCTCTGCTGGTACTCATGCACCTTAGTCTCCAAGATGTCTCCATGGGAGTAGAGAAAGAGTGTAGAATGGCAGAAATGATGGTTCTGCTATTTAGTTTATAGCTACCTCTCCCATCCCCTAAAATGCTAAGGCAAAGACCCCATAGAACTGTCCCTTTCTACTGCCATATCATGCACTGCTCTTCCCCACCATGAGGTCAAGCCAGACTGTGTTTCTCTGGCCCTGAGACTAGGCCAGCATAGGATACCTAGGGACCTCACTGGTTCATTAACCTACTCTGCTCAGGACTGGACAGCAATCCCAGATAACCAAGCAAGCTCTGTCAGCTCTGAGAGGCTCCTTCAGGAGACATAGCATGTTGGGAAGCTGTAAGCATAGATGTCAACGGGTCAGGCTCAATGCAGGTGGCCACGAAGCCTGCCTCAGCCCTGTCTGTAACTGCTGTGCCAGCTAAGTGACCCTGGAATAAACAAGCAGTTTACCCAACCTGCATATTAGCCACTAAGCAGCAGGTTTGTCATCATGTCCTATGTGGCGGGTATGCCACAGACCAACTGTGGTTCAGCCCCAGCTGAGGAACACACCGTAAGACCCAGTGCATCCTTGGGCACTGGTAACCACTCCATCCACCGCCCCCTGCAGGGCCTCAGTGGAACCTTCCTGTGATGTGAGCTAATCTTTCAGGAAGCAGAGAATGGGCAGGAATCAGTGCCTTGGGCAATGGAAGAATGTCATAACAGCATGGTATGAGGCAGCCAGAAGGCAGGGCACTGACTCCAGTACATGCTCCAGCAATCGCCACCTAGCCCCTCAGAGCCAGGGTGCTGCTCCTACCTCAGGGAGTGCTATTCTGTTGTTGCTACTTGATTTTTGTGTTGGAATAATTTTAGACATAAAAAATTGTCCTAATATACCTTTCATCTTCTCCTAATGTTAACATTGCATAAAATCATATTGTAATTATCAAAACCAGGAAATTAACATTGCTACAGTGCTACTGATAGGCAGATATTTGAATTTTGCCAGTTTTCCCTTTATGTCAATTTTCTGGTCCAGGATTTGAACCAGGACTTCACACACTGCTTTGTGTTGTCATGTTTCTTGTCTGTCAGCCTGAGACAATTCCTCTATCCTCCTTTGTCTTTCATAACCTTGATATTTCTAAAGAGTCCAAGCCAGTTTTGTAGTGGCCCTCATTCAGGGTTTATATGTTTCCACTGATCACGTGGAAGACCTGCATTCTTGGTTAGATGATCACAGAAGCAATGACATGCCCTTTACACCGCCCACTGCGGGTCTGTTAACTGTGACTATGCTAGGTCTCTCCACTGTAAAATTGTGAATTTTCAGGCTAGGGGCGGAACTCAGTGGTAGAATGCTTGCCTAGCATGTGTGAGGGCCTGGGTTTGATCCCCAGCTCTAACAACAACAAGAAAACTACATATTTTTCTCTTGAAATTAATAAAAATCCAGGGAGATACTGTTTGTTTTTGTTTTGTTTTTGCTCCTTTGCTTGTGGGGGTACCATTTGAGCCATGCCCCCCATCTTAAAGCTATTTAAGTGTCTTGTTTATCCTTAGAATTGTACCTACAGAGTTTGTATTTATCTTAGTTCTTGTTTGCAAGTATTAACATTGAGTTTACCTGATGATGGCTTTTTTGTTCCTTATTCATCTGTATTTATTAATTAGTATTCTATACAGAAGAACCTTTTTCCCTCATTTATTTATTCAGTAATTTATATCAGTGTGAACAAGCATACTGATTTTATTCTGTAGGATGTAATCTAATACTGAGTTTATTTCATTGCTCAAATTTGCCCACATTGGTTACTGGGAAGTCTCTCAAGTTGTTTCAGTGTTGTTTTAACATTGCTTCCATTGTTTTTTGAGCATGTCCTTACTTTCTGGCACCATAAGATGTTGTTCCATACTCACTAATGGATGGGTGCTAGGGCTTCAGAAAAGGAAGAAAAAAAAATGTGAAATAAAGACTAGGAAAGCACTGCTCATTGACCTGGGAATGCAATAAAGTCACCATCACTGAGTCTGTAAGTGGCTAAGAAAAAACTCCCACTTACACCCAAGTGCCACTGGGACATCAAGATGAAAAACTAACAGAGCAGGGCCTGGACCACCGAAACCCACAAGGTCCCATAGAAGTAAACACAAAAACGTTCTGTAAGATTATGCCTATAATTCAATTTCACAAAGAAACCTGTGGGTAGAACAAGACCTACTAGAAATGAGTTTACCCCAAAAAAGTAGGGAGACCGATCATGAAGGAAAGTTGGCAGATATGACAAATGGGAGAATGTATACTCCAAGAATTGTAGATAATACAAGAATAAATCTGAATTTAAAATAAGTTATGTTTAAAGCTAGGTGTGGGAGTACACAGCTAAAATCCGTGCATTTGAGAGACTGAGGCAGGAGGATCACCAGTTTGAAACCAGTCTAGGCTACATAGCAAGACCATGTCTCAAAAAAATAAAAGCGTATTTTAAAATGTTCAAAGAAATAAAGACTCGAATCCACAGTCAAGAAAGGATATTGTGAAAAAAATAGGTGGAATTGGAGAAGAGCTGCATTGTAGGTGTTTCCTAAGATTTCTGTAGGTTTTGTTTTCTGTTTGTTTTTGTGGTACTGAGGTTTGAACTCAGTTCTTGCTAGGCAGGCACTTAAGCCACACCCCCAGCCCTTCCATGTTTTTTTAATATTTTAACAATTTTCTCTAGTTATGTCCTAAATTATTTAGGTATTGGATACCAGAACTGATACAGACTCATGACCTTAACAAATGAAGACTTAGGTCCCCTGCTATCCAAAGAACATAAGATCTAATGCTTACATTAAAACACAAAGATCTTAAATCAGTAACCCTAACTTGCAACTTAAGAAACTAGAAAAAGAAAATGAAAGTAAACCAGAGCTCACAGATAGAAATAATAAAGATTATAATAGAAACAAATGATATAAAAAGAGAAAAAAGAAAAATTGAAACAAAAAGCTGGTTCCTGGAAAAGATCAAAATTGACAAACCTTTAGCTAAATGAACTAATAAAAGAAGAGAAAAGACACAAAATCAAAATGGAAGTGGGGAATTACTACTGATTCTGCAGGGAAGAAAAAGATAATAAAAGAATGCCAACAAATGAGATAGCTTATATGAAATGGATAAATTCCTACAAATATAAAAGTTACCAAGACTAAATAATGAGAAATAGAAACTGTGAACATACCTCTAACTAGCGTATTAACTTCACATTACAAAACACCTGAGGCAGCTAACTTACAGAGAAAAAGTTGCCAGGCATGCTTGTAATCCCTAGCACTTGGAAAGGTAAGGCAGGAGGATCTTGAGTTTGAGGCCAACTGGACTACATAACAAACCCTGTCTCAAAAGAAAAAAAAAATTAAAAAATTTATTTAGCTCACAGTTTGGGAGGTTCAAAGGCATGGCACCTGCATCATAGGGTGGCAGATGGTGGCCCATTCTGGAGGAAGCACATCTTGAGCCAAGAAAGAGAGGAGAAGAAAAAATACAAGATCCCACAATCCCCTTTGAGGGCATGCCCCCAGAGACCTAAGAAAGTTCTGGTAGCCCCAGAACTAATTAAGCTGCACAGCACCTCCAGTGTCACCATCCTGGAGAGCAAGTCTTTCCATATACAGATCTTTGGGGGATGCTACCCATACTTAAACTATAACAACTAGAAAGGAGTTGGAATCAGTAGTCAAAAATCTGAAAGCGGGTCATGGCCGGGCACCAGGGGCTCATGCCTGTAATCCTAGCTACTCAGGAGGCAGAAATCAGGAGGACTGCAATTCAAAGACAGCCCAGACAAATAGTTCATGGCACTGTATCTCAAAAAAAAAGCCCTTCACAAAAAAGGACTGGTGGAGTGGCTCAAGATGTAGGCCCTGAGTTCAAGCCCCAGTACTGAAAAAAAAAAAAAAACTGGAGCCTGATGGGTCACTCCTATAATCCTAGCTACTTGGGAGAATGAGGTTGAAAGAATCACAGTTCAAGGCCAGCCTGAGCAAACAAAGTTCATGAGACCCCCATCAAAATCAATAGCTGGGTGCAGTGGTGTGCACCTGTCATCTAGCTACAGGGGGGAGTATAAAATAGGAGGGCTGAGATCCAGGACAACCTGAGGAAAAAGTAAGACCCTCTCTCAAAAGTAACCAGACCAAAACAGGGCTGGAGGCATGGCTCAAGCAGTAAAGTGTCTGCCTAGTAAGCACAAAGCCCTAAGTTCAAACCCCAATACCACAAAAAAGAAATGTGAAAAAGTAAAAGTCCTGGACCTGATGGCTTCAGTGGTTAATTCTACTAACCTTTTTTTTTTTTTTTTTTTTTTTTTTTTTGCAGTACCAGGGCTTGAATTCAGGGCCTCCACCTTGAGCCACTCCACCAACAATTTTTGTGTTAGATATTTTCCAGATAGGGTCTTGTGAACTTAATTTGTCCAGTCTGGCTTCAAACTGCAATCCTCCTGATCTCTGCCTCCTCAGTAGATAGGATTACAGACGTGAGCCACTGGCATCTGGCTTCTTTTAAACTCTTAAAGAAGAAATAACACCAATCCTTCTCAAGTTTTCCAAAAAAACTTAAAAAGCGAAGAACCACCTCTACAAGGAAAACTATAAACTTCTGAAGAAAGAGATTGATGAAGACTATAGAAAGTGGAGAAAT